CTCCCAGAGCTTGTTGCACATGTATTCTCGGGACAGCGATGGGCAGGACTGCCAGCATTTCCAGGAGGAATGTCTGTTCTCCTTTAGGCTAATAACTTGTGAGATGCATTACGCTCCGTTATACACTTCTGTTTTTGAGGGACATTTTTTTTTCTTTTCACCATATTTGATATCCCACCTATTATGTTTTTCACACAGGTGAAACTTTAAATATTTAATTTAGATAAGCAAGAATTTAGTAAAAGACTTCATTGGTCATTTCAGGATTCAAAAGAGAGTGAGCTGGTTGGGCAGTGGGTGGATATTGATACCATTCAAAGAACATTTATTAACTATCTATTTTTGTCCACCAGTCTGCTAGCTGCTGAAAAAAAATAGAGATCCAAGTTAATGCAGGCCTCAGAAAACTCAGTGTTTGGGAATTAGCCCCACAGGGGTCAGTGGTAAATAAGAAGAGGACACAAAGGCCTTCTGGAACACAGAGGGTGAGCTCTTAGTCACAACCAGCGAGGAAGGCTTCCTGGAAGAAGCAGACTCTTGACTAAGCAAGATATTTGAACATTTATTAAATAAAACTAGGGCAAGAGGTGAGAATATTCTAAGCACCAGGGAAAGTGGATATAAAGACATACAGGAGTGAGATGCCATGGCTTATTCCAGAAGCTGTATTTTAAGATGAGAAAACTTAGGAAAAGGCAGATGGAGTTGGTGGACTTGGTATGCCATGCTAAAAATTAGAACTTTTCTCCTGAAGGCAAGAGGAAGACATTGCAGAATTTTAAGAAGGAGGGAAGAGTATACAGCAAGGGGAGAGGAAGGTCATAAGCCCTGGAAAACAGAACTGGGGAAAACACTTCAGACTAGTCATTCATTTAACAGTGGGTTAAAGAAAAAACTTCAAAGTCAGCTAATAGTAAAAAAACTAGATAAGAAATGTTTGTTTAAGTTCACCAGCTTTAATGTGTATTTAACTCGGATGGTTTAAGTTAGTGTCTTTGAAGACATTACTTGTGTGACAAGTAAAGTAATTCATTATTGAAGTTATTTGTCAGGGTTTCTAATGAAGCCTTTGGGGCATTTTGCTGTTAGAGATCAATAGTCAAGTTAAAGAATAACTGGTTAGTACAAAACCAAGGGACAAAATGAAAACTAAACTCTGTTATGAGAAAATAACCATAGGAGAAATCACAATGGTAAGGCTAGAACCAATTTTACTTATGAGTATACTTCTGTGAAATTTATTGGATAAACACCTCAAATAAATAATAAAACATATTTTTAAGCTATAACAAAAACTGAATTTGGCATTTTATTAATGATACTAATGTCCCAATAGAGGCCAGTAGTGTGGAATGAATCAATCAGAATCTGAAGAAAAAAGGACAACTTAGTTAACATGGTCAAATAGCATTATTAATTTAGTATAAGCATAGCAATTTAATTAGTTTAGCTATAGAGCAAAATCACACTAAATATGACATAATTACACTGCAAGTTTACTGGAAGCAAAGTTCATTTCAAGAAAAGAAATTACTAAAATTTAAGACCTAACGTAAACTTGTTTTTACTGAATTGTAAAACTGAGTAACAAAAGATCATGTATGGTAAATATCAAAGGTTCTTTTTATTTTAATAGTGCGCTACCTCCCAAGAAGAATAAGCCCTAACAAATCTTTCAAACAAAAAATGGAGATGCTGGGGATGGGGAGAAATCACTCTAAAACATAAACAAGTCCTTAAAATTGCACATAGTCAAGTTAACACCATTTCCAAGTGTATACAGATACTGCTCTCCCTGATGAAGAGTTTACTATTAGGGACATTTTCAAAAGCAAGACATTTGGAGTAAACAGTGAAATAAAGTACGACTATTAATTAGAGTCAAAGGCCTGAGCACATATGGAACCTGTTAGGGGGTCGGTGGCTGTAGGAAGAACTACAAACGCGTTTGAGACACCTAGGCTGTCTCTGAGAGGAAGGGATAGAAGCAAGGGTGGTTACAAAAGCAGAAAATGGGCCAGAGATCAGTCAGATGGGAGGGAGAAGGGCTGCTGGGCAGATGGTCTCTTCTGTTCCAAGATGTTCAAAGTTAAGGGACACTCCTTAGCACACTTATTTTACACAGAGAGGGAATTAAGAAGAAACGAAGGGTCTGCCAGAGTTTTTTCTGGATTTACTTGTGTCATTTCATTTCTTTGATAAACTTTGCTTGTTTACGTAATTCATTTGCTGCCTTCTGCAAACCAAGGCCCTTATTTGGTGCTCTCTCCATAACCCTTATGTTTCCATTTTAAAATGTGAATTAATAAAGAGTAAGGTTCTTGGTTACATTGTACAGTTACCTATGTTAGGTTATGTTATCTTCCTCTAAAAATTTCATAGGACTATTCATATATCTTTCTTGACAAAGGGCAATGCTTGCTTATTTACCAAGTTTAGGACCAGTCTAGACTATGGAAATGGTAATTAAATCATTTTCTTCACAGTATTTTTCAGTCATTAAAACTTAAAATTAATGGACAAAGATTTAAAAAACAACAACAGTTGAGGTGGCCGGCTTCAGGTAGCCGAATGATGACATGTGATGAGCCAAGCTCCCCTGAATGGCATTTGGCAGGGAAGATAAACTCCCTGAGATACTTTACAGACTTCCCATAGCTGCCAGATAAAAGCCCAGTGTCATTAGCAAAGAGCATCAGCAGCACAGGGCCTTATCCTAGACACCACGAGAAATAAAAAGCAGGCAAGAGAAACACTTCTCTGGAGAGCTGAATTGCCCTTGGAGAGACCAGAATAGACATCAAATACCATTAAAAAATGTTAAGAATGAAAACATACAAACCAATTCTATACAACCCACAATAGATTGGAAATAGTTGGGGACTTGATCCAATCAGGTCAGTATGACATAAATGATAACTTACATATACTCCAACTGGCCAAATGCAGCCCTTGTAGGCTCAGGGGAACATACAGGGACACTTTGAGGTAAGTCGTGGTCCAGGTCGATAAGGCACAAGGAAGCAGCAACCATAACTGGCCGCCTGAGTCCTTGGCATTCTGTCTTCGGTGGTACAACTGGAGCTCACAAGGATCTTGCACTTTTTACTGGGTTTATTTATAAGGGAAAATTTGTGGGAGGAAGCCTTACTAGTGAGTATCCTAGACACCCAATCTGTCCCACAGCAATGAGGCATGCATTCAACGAGAGAAATCTCATTAAATGCCTAAACTACTTAATACACATTAACAAAATTATATAAGTTTTAACTCTCTGTAATATACAGAAAAAAATCCTTTTAATTTTTATGCTCACTTCTCAATTAAATTAACCAAAATGTCCATCTTCAATTTTATATGTAAGGACTCATGCCATACCAACCACTACTGATCTAAATGAGCAAAATTATCCCCCTGAAATTATCATCCATTTCAGCAAAGTGAACACATACAGATGCAATGATTGCAGGTTCACCATCCAGCTAGAACAATTAGAAGAAAATAAGACTATTGATTCAGAACATGTGGTTCATATATACCTTACTGGGAATTTATTTTATGTGGACAATCTACCTGGCTTATTTTTTTGCATCTTGCCAAAGTACCTACTTAGGAACTTGAATGACAAATCAGTGCTGATTAAATATAAGGGGTGATGACAGAGAGACAGAAAGCCAGGCTTTATTTTAAGGTTACTCACAGAAAAACGTAGTGACTTTATTACATTTTAAAGTCAAAGAGATGCCAGCCAGGAGAAACTGGCTTTAGAGTTTAAGTTCAGGTCTGAGTTCAAATATTGGCTTCACCACTTAATAGCATTGTGACTCTGGGCAAAAATCTCAACTTAATTGACCTTCCCTTTTTTCACCCATAAAACATCTAGTGCCTCTCTTAAAGTTTATCATGGGGCATAAATAAATAAAAAATGCTTAGTGTAATGACTGACACAGAGATGAACTAAGCAGTGTGTCCACAAGAAGGCAGAGGAGAGTTCCTGAACAGAGTAGAACTTCCAAAAGCAGAGATTCCTTTGGCATCAGTTCTAGGATGAACTTTACATTTCGCCAAACTCATTAAATCCAGATGAATGGCCGGCAATGAATGAAATTTAAGCCGGTAATTTCATACCAAAAAGAGCTTAAAAATTATTTTCAATTTTCCCTCTTATTTTTATCTAATTTAGAATTTAATTTACACTTACTGTGTAGCCCAGTGGACCCCAACTTTGTCTGTATTTTAGAATAAGCTGGGAACACCTGGAAAAAATCACCGCCAGCAGTTTTGCTTTAATGAATTTGGGCTGAGGACTGGGCACTGGATGTTTAACTATACCCCCCAGGAGATTCTAATCGGCAGCCAGGGCCTAGAACCGCTAGTATAGTTAACCACTTTTGCTTCACCTGTCCGGACTTAAGAACCAGCCTATTTAAGGTTGTAGCCAGAATTACCATTCACTCCTTTTCTGAAGAAGTAGAAAAATCTAAAAAACTATATAATTAGTCAGCAGACTTGAATGGAAGGAAATCCACAAGGGAAGTCCACAGTCATTTTTGAGATGAAAAAAATAGGCACTTTTGTTTGGATAAAAATCAGCCATGCCTTACAGCAGGTTTCCAGTGCAATTATGTAAGAGGGAGAGGTTTTATTTTTTTTTAAAGGCCCTTTCTCTTACATTCATTCTTTTCCTTTCTGCTTTGAAGCTCTGAAAAGAGAGATCATCTAAAAGACAGACGTGAGGCAATACCGCTGATCATGCAGGTTTCCAGTTCAATGGAAAAATCCGATACACCTCTCTCGTAAAGAGAGAGCCACAGCGACCCCAGGCTCCAGTAGTCCGACCAGTCAGCATGAGCTCTGAGCTCTGTTCTAACCCCCTTTCCCACTAAGTGACGCTGAGCAAGTCACTTAGCTGGTCTCCAATCTAATACACCTTCCGCAATGCGAAATCAGCACACAGTACAAAGTTCCTAGAATTGGTGTCACTTCCATGAGCTGCTTACCAGCATGCTGCCATCAGTCCAACGGAAGTCATGTTCAAACATCTTGTCATTGAGGCCTATCCACTGATAATCATGGCCCACACCTAAGAGAGGGGAAACAACACAGACATTTTTACTACCATTCCCATATAAGGATGAAATGTAGCAAAGAAAATTATTTTCAGAGTGAATCATGTGTCCTCTTTTCTGGCAGGGTTTTTGTTTAGTGGCTCATAAAAATCTGTCATAGTCTGACTATCTTTTGTTTTTCTGCCCAATGTGTTTTAAACTAAAAAAGCTAATGCACCAAGATTGTGTAACATTGAAATATCAGACATAAGGCAATAATTTCCCTAGCAGTATATTATAAATCTTTTTCCATCCTTACTTATCATAAAAACTTTCCATTTATTTATTTATTTTATTAAGCTATGCCATTGGCAAAAATTCAGTGACCCAATAAAAATGTGACAGATCTCACCTATGGTAGCCTTGCTTTGGAAGCCACATGTTTCTTCTCAAAGCGTTTTAAACACTGAACACCTAGACCAAACAGTTCTGCAAAATTATCCACAAGAATAATTCCTTTCATCAGGAGATGAGTCACTGGCAAGGACACCATGTAAAAGGTTAAATGAACCTCTATCCAGATTTTGCAAAGTAACAATCAAACTCCTAAAAGATAGCAGTCCTCATAAAAACATACATAACAGAATATCAAAATATGTCATGAGCCAAACACTTCTACATATTTGTACATAAAAGCTAGCTGCCCTTCTCTTTGCTATAGTTTAAGGAGTTATTATTGTTAAATAATCATTACCCTGGTAGTAAGTTTTATTAAATTTCAGTCTCCATCTTTTCATATTCTTAATATGAAGCCCACTTTCTATGGCCTAAAACAATTAGAAACTTGGAAGAGAACCAATTATGTACAGAGGATAAGATTAGAGTGTCATTAACAATTCAGTTTTAAGTAGTAGGATCAAAATAACTAACAGCAACTTTCTCTTTAGCTTTAGGCAATGCATTCACATATTCAAAACAGAGACCCCAAAGGTAGCCTTGAGGAGAATGAGACTGACCCATAAGCAGCCACTTTTGCAAATCAAAAAATAATCAAACAGCACAACTCAACTACGGCGTGCTTTTGTACCTATTATTGCTGGCAGACCAGGAAATCCCTGCTTATATCACAACTGAAGATTTCTCAGAGTAGGAGGCTCATATAGGAGAGATGATTTCAAGTAGTTTGCAGATGAGGGATTTAATAAGTTGAATCACCACTGAGAAAGCTATTTCTTTTAATTCAGATACAGAGAAAGCCAAGAAGGTGGTGAGACTGTGTGAAGCTTCAGGAAACCTGTGTATATGTGGTACATACGGTTCACAAACATTTGTTCCTCATGAGACAGGATGCTTGTGAGATGGGCACCCTGCAGACGGCATTCCCGCTCAGCCGCGTCCCACGTGCGTCGGTGAGCGAAGTATTTGTAGCACTGCCCTTGGAATTTGTGCCAACCATAGTCACACGTCTCAGTGTCTAGAAGGAGGGAGGCAGGGGCTTATTAAACTCACCTACGTCATTCAATCTTGGCTCACATTTCCAAGTGTTAACAAGAAGACCCAACAATAGCAATGCCATGTCCCTGAAGTTACCAATTAATAAACTGTGATCGCGATGACAAAAATTATGACAAAGACAGCCCAACTAATTCCTGCCAAGTGGGTGGCTGTACATCGTTGGACTGCAAAGGCAGTATTTGATTGCAATTCCCTTGATTAAAGGCCAGTGTCAGCAGGGGAGAAAACTGGAAGGGGGGCCAATCCAGCTGCTTAGGCTGTGGTGTCAACTAGCTCACTTGTGAAGCCACTGGGGCTAATTCCTTACCAACAACTTTTCAAAAGAGAATCATTTAAGTGATAAGTTAAAATCCAGAGGGAATTTCAGATAATAAGATTATGAATGTTCTATTTGCATAAGGACTTCAAAGGCTCTGGAATTAGTCCTTTCTTACTACACAGAAAGATAGCTGGGGTGGCCAGGGGCTCTTGTCAGGTAACATTCACAAAGAGAAAAAAATGTCTTCATCGTCAGTAGGTAGCTTCGGAGATGTAGCCAGGGCTGTGTGCTTTCTTACCAAAAATGAGAGGGAATGTAGTGAACTCCCAGTGCAAATGCATCAGGATTTTAAGTCTATTAAGAATGAAGTAACCTAAGTTATTTAACTTTGTGCCCCACATTCCACCAAGCCATATACATATATGTGTATTTGTGTATGTAGTTTTATATATGTGTATGTGTGTGTGTGTGTGTGTGTGTATTTTGCAATAAGCACCCTATAACCAGTATCTTTGTGGGATGAAAACATTTTTCAAATATATCTAAATTTTACCCTGACAGTAAACTTCAGCTATACTTTCTAGACTGCCAATTTTTACGTATTTTCAGTAAAGCAGCCTTGCTCATAGCTCTGCAATCTCATTGGTGATTTTCCCTCAGACTCACCCACTCATAGATGGGGTTAAATTATATGTATTAAATAATAGTCAATAGAAGTAATTTTGACTTCCACAAAATGTACCTCACAAATATATTGAGCTAGGTAACTGTAAAAACTAATGAGTAAAAAGTTTATAGAGAACTTCCCAGATTGCCTAATAAACGTCCTCCCCTTCCCTAATTTTACTGAAGGAGCCAAGGGTTTATTAAACTCACCAATTTATCTATGAAGAAAACAAAACCCTACTGGATGAAAGAAATGTGTGTCTTATATGTCAGATTTAGTAGCCAAACTGAAAGTCAAATCGTTCCCTGACTCTTGCTCACTCGGATTTCTCCTCTTTCTATAATTGTGGGAAAATATGCATCCTGAGAGATTTAATTTTTTCCTGGCTTCAGTGATTTAGACCATAATCATACAACAGATGCAGCTTATCTCTGAGAACAGTCTTTATTTCAGTTTAGTCTATCAGACCCGTTGTTTAGTTACAACCAGCTGACTAATTGGTTTAAGTAACGTCTACTGGAAGTTGTGAGTTTTATAGAAGTGTTGTTTGGGGACCACCATATCCCCTAGGAAAGGACTCAAGCCTCAGCTAGGTGGTTTGGGTTAAACTAGCACTCAGCACAGAATGGAACATGTTTTGGCTACTTGGATTAATAATTTTCCTTTTGCAATATTCACATGGAAGAATTTAGAGGTGAAGTGGGAGTGTTGGGGAGCAAACATATTCAAATGTGAGGGGACTTAGTTTATAAGGAAGGAGAATTGGGACAGTTTCAGAAAACTCTTATTGTTAAAGTCAGTATATGGTATTGTAATAGGACAATTTTCTTTAACCTTGGAAATTATTATTTATTTTAAAACAGCTTAAAATTCTAGAGGATCCCTAACTTGTTGAGTGAGACATTAGAAATAAATTATTTTATATACTCTTTTTCTCTATTAACCCAAATGGTATTAGTCTGGTCTTAGTCTTTCATTATTAAAATAGATTATCATTAAGTATTTTTCCTCTTACACCAAAAATCTCAAATTATCATTAAATTTAGATGCATAACCACATCATTGCTACAATGCCTTTCTCAGTTAGTAGGTGTATATATTCTGATCAGAACACAGGTCCAAAATACAGGCACAGAATTTCTGTTAAAACCAAATGGGGACAGTTTATTTATTTATATTATCTAGACAACAGATTTATATTCCTAATGATTATATGTGTGCAAACACCAATTATAATACATGTGCAAAAGCCACTTAACAGAGTGACTTTTTATTATTAAAAAACCAAATATCCACACTGATTCACTTAATTTTTATTACTCATTAATTCAGTAAATACATACTGCATGACTACATGTCAAGCAGCATCTTCTTGTGTGCTACTCTGATAGGAGAGATCAGAAGCAGTCCATGTTTTCAATCTTCCCTAAAAATAATGGGGTACACATTCCATTTATTAAAAAGCAGACCTTTTAGATTATATTTTCTTAAAATTCTTCTGACATGTAGGATCACTTCTTATGCTTTAAAACTACCAGAGTGCCTAGGTTTCAGGACAAGATTCAGTTTCAGTTTGGCCCATGAGTGTTGGAACAGGGGGAGAGGGGATGGCAACTCCTTTCATGGTGACAGAATCTGGAACTACCACTCAAGAGACTTCACTAAAACTATATTCTCATTATGCCATATAGGTAACATTTTCAATATCTGCCATGACTTAAGAAATTATCAACACTTAGGCACCTCTTCCTGTGTCATTGATTTTGGGTGCGGACAATCTGTGTGTGCTGAACTGTCTCCAAAGTCAGCTGAAGAAACAACAGCACAGTCATCACCGAAATTTGGACAGAAAACTGTTTAGACAGCAATGCTGCTGTTAATGAAGAAAACATTTGTTCTTAGGCAACCTGAAAAAAGGAGACATTTTTCAGTGTCCTGGCAATAAATCACAGGAGCGCAGCTGCAGCTGGTAAATAGACTCGGATGGCTGTGTCTTAGCAAATAATCTGGATGAAAGTCAAACTTGCTTTAAGATGAAATAGAGTTTACCTGGAAGTCAAGTGGCTCCAGAAATGAGAGAAAAAAAATCAATGTCTTTTCTTTTTAATAATAGAGTAGGAAAAGGTAACTGTCTCCAAAGTCTCTTCCAAGGATCTCTGACCACTGAATCCATTGGATAGACACATAAATAAAATGCTTGTCTGTGAGAGTTACTTTAGAAGTGTGAAGATACTGAGAAAAACCTGGGATTTAAAAAACAGCTAAGGTTCATTTTTCCCATTCTAATGCACTAGCTGTTTGACCTGGAACACTTCACTTTTCCTTTCTGAGCCTCAATTTCTGACCCAATGCACAGAAATACTGTCAATGAAATAAAATTATGTACCTGGAAGCACCTGGCAACTTATAAAGTATCCAATAATAGTATCTCTTTTCATACCCTGTCAAGAATTCTGCTGTGTCACCAAGAGCCAGGATTTTTGTTTTCTTCAGAGCTTCGTTCTGTTCAGTTTCACTCAAAACAGTGCCTGGCAGACAGTAGGTATTCAATAAAGACTTGCTGAAAGAATTTTTTGAATCACTCTGTGGACTTGGAACTAAGGGAGGCCAGAATCATTTGATTCTGTATTTCAAATATCTCACCCTTTTGTTTTCTTCCTACTGTTGGCATCCTTCTTACTGTTTTCTTTTAAGAAGAGGATCTTACTTGATCAATTTTCAGATTTCTTTCTAAATTCTAAAACAGACTCTTCCTATGCAATAGAGTAAATGAAAAAATCTCTAAAAACTCAGCCATCACTCATCTCCTTCAATTGGTAATTCAATACATGCTCCTTTTAGTTTTGCTCTGAGCTGATGCCCAGATTGACACTGCAAAGCAGAATGTGGGGCCAGACCAATGTGCCTGACTGTCCTAATACATTTTCATTTTGTCTAGTGCTATAGAAGTTTGGCACGAGACATTTTTGTCAAGGCCAAACCACTGTACAACTTTAAGCAGAGGAAATCAATGTCTCAAAGTGGAGTGTGCTGAGCATGCAATCTGTTTCTGATTGATGGACTAAGAACTATTACCAATAACCATCTAAAATACACTCTCAGGTTGGCCATAAAATGCAAATTACAGGACAAGATAGTCAAGCCATTGTGCACACAGGCTTTTCTTTCATTCAGAAAAAATAGATCTTCGGTAGGAAAATTCCCTGTTGAGCAGATTCACAACATCTTTTACATAGTGTTTGCCAAGCTAAAACTAATGCATTCTAACAACTATATTAACTCATCCTCCAGAGGTGATGGGCCATGAAAAATAAGCCCACTGAATCTCCAGTGCTCAGGGGAGAAAACAAAGGCAGCTAACATTGAGTGCAGTACCCTTGGTACAAGCCACATACATGGGTGCCTAGTTTGTCCTCAGGAAGAATATGTATCACACAATGCTCCTTTTGTTGGCTAGATGTCCTTACGCTCACCTCAGTATGCCTGTCTGTAATTCCACTCTATCAGCAAAACAGCAGTGATCAAAACCCCACTACCGTTCAGATGTCGTGAGCTATGGACACATAAGAAAACCTAACATATGTGGTAACCTGTGCATTTCTTCTGCAGAGAATATGAAGTATGGCCAAAATCGCTAAAAACAACCAACTCATTATGACAAAAGGCTGCCTAGAAGTAATGTTAGAAATGAAACATCAGCAATGTTCATCATATAAATGTTGGGATAGCTCTTACCTTGCTCACAAAGTGCACCAATATAGCTCGGAAGACAGAGGCACCTAAAGGTATTAAAACCATCAACACATGTGGCTCCATTGCGACAAGGGTTAGAGTGGCATTCATCAAAATCTGAAATATAATCATAAAAGCCCATAAAAGTACTTTCAAAAGTGATCAAGTTGTTGTAAGGATCCTATTTAGTGTAAAGTTTCCAGATAAAATACAGATGGCCCATTAAATCTGAATGTCAGATTTAAAAAATAATAATAATCTTTAAGTATAAGTATGTCTCATGCTATATTTAGGGCATACTTATATAAATAATTATTTGTGTATCTGAAATTAAAATTTAACTGACCTTCCTGTATCTTATTTACTAAATCTGGCAACCCTAAGAAAATTCCAAAGATATTCAGAGAAGGGTCATTGTCTCCACTGCTTTTAGATGAGTCACATGAATCCTAACACTGATAAGAATCCCCCTACCTTTCCAGCCCCAATCCTGGCTTACAGGGAATAATGAAAACACTAAACTGGTTTCACTGCCTCTTCCTCTTCCCTCTCTTATATATCCTTCACTCTGCTGATCGTCATCTCATCTTTAGGCAGAGTCAAGATAATTTTACTCTTTGGCTTCCAAACATTCTGTGGATCCCAGCTGCCCAGGGCAGTGGTCCTAAAAGCGCAGTCCGTGGGCCAGTAAACACCACCACACCCAAGAATGTTGAAATGCACCAGGCTCACCCAGATGTACTGAATCAGATTCTGTGGAGACAGCAACGATTTACCAAGCCCTGCAGATGATTCTGACGTACACTGAAGTCTCAGAATCATTGGCTAAAGGATGAAGTACTAAACTCTTCAGTACAATGTATTCAGGGCCTCTTCAGACCTAAAAAGATCCAACCCTCCTTCAAGTATTCTCTCCCGGTAGGTTTGTCTCTCACAGATCCCTAGGAGGCCACCTGAATGCTTGTAGTCACCCATATGCATTCTGCAGTTTGTGATCTCTGTGCTTTTGATTGATGAATCTCCTTCCTCCACCTATTAAAATCCTCCCTACTTGAAGATCTGTATTAAATGTAACTTTTCTATACAGATATACACGATCTTCCCTGGTGAAATTAATGATTTTATTCCTGTACATTTTGCAACTCCACTAAAAATGTAATGTTTAGTTAAATGAAAAGAATGTTAAAAATGAATACATAAAATAAACTTCCAAGAAATATATAATGTGTTCTGACCTAAAATGGCTTTAGTAATGATGATATTATACCGTAGTATTACAAAACACTTTTAAGGTGTTCGCTATGTGTCAGCCACTCTTCTAACAGCTTCCCATATGTTAGCTCATGAAATTATTTTAAATTGATTTCAACACAAAACAAAATGGGGGCCTTATAGATGCTTTTAAACATATATATGTGAATTTTATATTTAAGATATAATTATTCCTTAAATGTTATCTATTGCTATCTCTACATCCCCACTAATTAGTACAAATATGGAGCTTACTAGCTTGTTGACCTTTTCTTAAGACAAGCACTCTTTTAACATGAATGTCAGGGACTCTTTCTAAACATTTCTGCGTAATCTAAAACATTACCCACCGGCCTTCTTTACTCATCACGAGAACACTGCCACAGCGCCTCTAACGGGAGCACCTAGCCACTATATTCCATCACTTTTCCTCAGAGGCAAGGTCTAAATTTAGCCAAATCAAAACTGGTATTTATTTTTTTAAGAAAAAAGGAAACATAAATAGGAATGGGAATAAAAGGAATTGATATAGTAAAGAGACAATGATATTCCTTGGACCTCAAACGAGGACGACAATCTCAAAGCCCCTTGAAGCAGAGGTGGCTTACACGGGCCTCAGGGGACAGCCCCAGAAGGAGCTCTCCATTCCCATCAGAGGAGCCTGTTAGCCCAAAACAGAAAAAACAAACTCCCTAATTTTTTAAAGGTAGCTTTCTAAAAACTTTTTGGCATTTAAATCGATTATTTATTGATATGCAGATTTGGGAAACTAGATTAAAAGTTTTTGTTAATATTTATGCAACTTTACTTATGCATTTATAAAGCCTATCTGTAAAAGCACAAAAAGACAGCTAAGCACAGTAAGCTTTACGGAATCTTGGGTATATTAACAAAATCTAATAAACATCTGCCCTCATTTTCCATATCCAACTTCAATTACTATGATTTTAACTTCATTTAACATATGCTTCATCTATACATGGGTTTCTCTGAAATCCTCTCATTGATTTGAGCAATATAAATTCTCCCACAATATATCTTCTGGAAAAGCACTACAGCCTTTCAGGCAAGAATATCTTACCAAGTTCACACTGGTCGCCACTGTATCCTGGCACACAGGTACACACATAGGAGGTTTCAGTAGGATAACAGGTGCCTCCATTAAGGCAAGGGTTTGTTTTGCAATGATCAGGTCCTAACATGTTCAGGAAAGTAAGAAAAGCAATTAGGCTCACCTCTGAATAAATTTCAACATATTTTAGCATAAAATGAAACTTATTGCTACTATAATAGAAGCTTTATCATAGCAATTTAGATATACAACGCAGAAAAGTTTAACATTAACTTTACTCTCTGGAGTGTTTCTTGGCATTATAACTAATTGTTACAAATTGTATCTATTCATTTCTGGGATCCAATCGCTGTTATTTTTTAACAATATTTTGTACGACATCTGGCAACTAATATATTCTACTGCAGATTTAGTTGGCATGATAATGGCAATTGATTTTAGTCAAAATGATTACACATATGTGCACAGTGAATGGAAAATGTAATCTTTTAAACGAGGTTAGTTCATGGGAAATGGCTGGGTACACAGAACATGCATTCTTTTTAGCAGATTGGCTTGTTATCATCATTTGAATTGTTATTGCCTTTTACCACTTAATGCTCAGAAACTGCCTTTCTTCCAAAGTGTGCACTGAAGTCTCTTCTGCTACATTAATATGCTTTTTCCAAAAACACGTTCCAAATGTACTCCTTTAAACTATACTTGAAGAAAAGCAACACAGGGATTAAATTCTACTGTATAAAAACAAACCCAAATACAAAAGCCTCACCTAAAATGAAACCCCAAATTTTCATTACCATTTCCTTATTAAAACACAATGATACTGACACTCCTAGCAGATAAACGGAAAGGCCAAAGACACATATTTATGAGAATAAACAGTTCAAAATATATTTCCTAAATGCAAATACTTTTACACTATTTGAAGCACAGATATTATTCTGTAATATTGCTCAGATGATTATATTTACATTAATAGCTTCTATGTATTATTTGAATACTTTTGCAGATTGCTTAAGTTTCAAAATGTTCGAGAATCCAAATGACGGAAGTTTTGCACAATAATTGATATAAATTGGTTATATATAGAATAAAAGTCATATTTTCAAGAATCCTAAGTCCCAAAGCCCTGAAATAATTACACATGAAAAAAAAGGTATCTACTTATGAAACATGAATTTAAGGAATATTCTGACACACAGATACTGCTACAGAAGATAACTGAGACTTTTCCACACAGGAATGGCAAACTCATACTTTCTGAATGTTAATTAAATTCTAGGCAACTAGAAAGACTCATTAGATACACATTCGCATGTGTGAATTCAACATTACAATCAGTTTAAGTCAAATGCTTGCACCTATTTCTTTAAAAACAATCCCAGTTTTTCTAAGATTCTTTCTCCTAAAATTCTAAAAATATGGAAGATCTCCCTAGCCATTTAGTTTTCTGCCTTTGAAAGTACACTGCTTAGATGACAAAGCTACATCAACAACACATTTATGTGCTGCCCTTGGTGCAAAATCAACACGACACTTATGTGAAAGTGCCTGGTAAGACTGTGAGGTACCACATAAATGTGAGGCAGTACTATGACTCCCCCTGCAGGCCCCACACACCACGCTGAGGGTATGGGGCAAGGACTTGACAAGAAACTAGGTGTCTTGTTTATTAAAGTAGTATAGATTGGGAGAAAAGTTTTGTTTTGATGAATTTTATTCTTCTCTAAACAGTTCGTATTAATTTCTGAAAGTTCAATCTGCAGTAGATAGGCGAAGCCATCCAGTGTGAGCTGCTCTTTCCTGAATTAGCCAAAAGTGTTAATTTGTTTTGCGATGAAGATGCATTGTAGATTGGATAACTGATACACATTTCCCACTCATTTGTCAAACCTAACTCTCTCTATTTTACATAGCTATTACCAATGATATCTATATCATATTTTTGCCAGCCTGAAGTATATTTCAACAAAATTAGGAAAGAACAAATACTGGCCAGATTACTAGGCTATTATTTATAGATTAAGTATAGAGTAACGCCACCACCACCAAGAAATCCACCAACCACCTTTGATCAATTTTATTCATCATTTGTAAAAGTCGCACTCTATCTGAAGCACAACAAACTGAAGTATCAGTGGCACAGAAGACAATGTTGAAACTATCAGAAGAATAATTCTAAGTATAGCTATACTGTAAAACGTACTCATTAAAATAAAACATGGTTTCAACCAACACAGCCCTTGAAGTAATGACTTTTTTTCTTTTTCTAGATAGCAGCTAGGAGGTAATGGCCACTTGGAGATTCCACTAACATAGTTATTTAAATAATGTGCCTGAAAAACACCATTGAAACAGACTTCTCAGCATCATCCAGCTGGATTAAAAGGAAAATAAATTCCTCAGAGTAAACGTTCCAAGACTTCTGGTTTGCATATCATTAAATATCAATTATACATTTTTATACTATATTAATAAGAAACCAGGAAAGAGCAGTAACAAGACCAGAGACTTTGGTGTAGGACTGACTGGATTCAAATACTACTTTTCCACTGCGTGTGTAGCTATGCAACCCTGGACAAATTACAGAGCATCTCTGAACCTCCATGTTCTATCCTTTTAATTGGGGTTAATAATATGTGCTTTATAGCCTTTTTGTGAATGAGATAGACCATTTGAACCAGTATCAAATTCATGTTTTCTGTCCATTCAATTAAAAAAAACCACAGAAATTCTCTCTTGACAGGCAAAGCACAAATATACACAGAATGGATACCCACCACGGCTAGGCACTGTGCTAGGCACATTATGTAGGACTATCAGAAGCAAGAAAATTACATAGAAATTTGAACTGATAATTAATACTGCACAAACCATACATGTTTATTAGAGCTATTTACTATTCTCAAATTTTAAAGCTCTGACAGATTTTGATTATTGCCATAATAGCACCCATCAGTGAAAGAGTTTTAAAAACAGAATTTATTTTCCTGTCTTTATCAGGTGTATAACTTTGGGCCATATGACAAAGCAGTTCTTCAGTTGTGAGTAAAACCAAATTGATTTTTAAAAACCATTAACATTTTCAGTTTTTCGGTGCTACAATTGTATGTGGTTCCTAAAACCCAGAAAAATACGAATAACTATAAAGCCCAGAAATAATCCATACTTACTTTCTTTGTATCTCATTATGGACTCAATCCTATGTCCTGTCTTGTTACATGAACAGTATAAAAATCTCCACTGATTTAATGTCACAATAACAATTATATACATATATATGTTATGACCAATGGACCATCTCCAAGTTTGGAAACAGATTTATCAGTGTTGTGACCTTACCTGGTAAATAGACTGCTGTGCCTTCCACTGATTCTTCATTAATGCCAATCAGGAAACTGGTTTCATTAGAAGTTTCCAGAAGGGAAAATGATGTTGTTGTAAGCTCAGTGTTTAACTCTGCACTGCTTACTGTTGCCTGATTATTGGAATCAAGGATTCTCGCTGTTACTTGCTGTTCTGATTCCGCTACTGTGGAATCCTCCTCGCTGATCAAAGCCGCCTGTGTTTCAGGGTTTGTTTCCAGAGGAGGAATGGTGGGCGCCTCAGAGGTCTGTGGGCTGAGCTGAGGTACCACATCTGCCTCGACCCCGTAAGTTGCAGAAGCGGTAGTATGTGGCCACAGTGTAGCACCTTCTAACTTAAGTTCACCTGCAGTTGTGGTAACAGTTCCAGCCTCAGGTGTGCTAATACTGGAAAAGACCTGGACTGTTTCTCCAGAAAGCTGAACACTGGCTTTGCTTTTGAAATCTTGGGGAATCTCAGTTTCGTCTGCAGCAATTGTTTCTGTGGGAAAAGCTTCGATTTGTTTTAATAACTGAGGTTCACTTTCATCTTCTGAAGATTCTAGGTCTGTGACAGGAGATAAGGATGGAGGCTCTGTTATGTGAAAGTCCTCTTCACTTGGTAGTCTGAAAGTCCCTTCAATGTTTCCAAGTTTTCCTGGGTTCATTTGAGATGTGCCAGCATCTGTACTTGGCAGAGCACTTGGCTGGGGGCCCTCTGTGTGTTCAGAGAACCCACTGCCTAAGTGTACAGTGAACGGAGACGACAGCATCTGAGAAGACGACTCTGCAGAAGCTGGAAACACTGATGTTGTATCCATGTAATCTGGGGGATTGGATCCTTCCATTCCATTTGGTGCCTCCGTTAAACTCTGAGTCATAAGGTGGAGAGGCCCAATACTTACGTAGGGTGAAGGATGAATCAGTGACTCCTCGGCTCCTGAAGAGAATTCTGGTTGAAAAGAAGGAGCTCCATATTTCTGTTCTTCATACTCATCCTGTGTGCTTTCCAAATGGCCCAATGTGGATATCATCTCACTTTGGTCTGCAATTGCTTGACCATCAGACAAAGTACTCGATTCAAAGATGTCATCAAGGACTTTTGCTTCCATTTTTGATTCTTCAATCCCTGGATTAACTGTGGCAGACTTACTAGGAAGGGGCAGGGATGTTGCTGTGGGAAACAAAATATCTAATTCTGTTTCTGTGCTAGGGACAGGGATCCCAGTTGTGAAGACAAAGCCTGTGTGATCTAATTGGCTTCTGTCTCCAGAAGTCATTGCTTCTTTATCGGTTGCCTGAGTGTAGTTAGCCAGAAGAGTATCACCAGAGCCCTCAAAGGTTTCCTCAGTTAAGGAAAGGTTAAGAGCTGCCT